ATATTATACTTAGTATTATTTAAAAGAATATATATTAAGATTTATTTTATTATAAATTTTTAGTGTAGAATGTTAAAATTGTTTGCAGTATCGTCATCAATATTTAAGCATTCTATGTAATTATTTTGATAGCCTAATAAAATTATTTTAAATTTGTATCTAAATCTACAAATGCTTCAACAAAATCGTTTTTGTGAACGGAAATGCTTAATTATTTAGTGGCAAATTAAACATTTTGTTTAATTCTTGAACAGTGACAGAAGATCGACTAACATGACAGATATAGAATACGACGAATAGATACGATAAATAAAATTATTTTGACCTAAATTAAATAATTAATTAACTTAATTAATTTAAAGTAAATAATCGAATTCAAAATCTTTATAGAACCAAATTTTATGTTAAATTTAAATTTTCATATTTTTCCAAATGTAATATTAATAAAGAGAGAAAACTTTTTTTTTCTTTTGAATTCTCGAATCGTAACTTAATCAATTTAATATTAATCAAGCGGGAGTTAAATATTAAACTTCAATTCAACAATCGCGCTATATAAGAAATTCTATATCAAAGTCTTAAATTATTTAACACACCGCGAAAGATAAAACATCCCTTCTTTTTTGCATTGAGCTTCCGCAGTCGGCTCACGTCGACTTTCCACATCAAATTCTTAAATTATTTAGCCGCACAGAAAATCAGATCTCCTCATTCTCCTTCTCATATTAAGATTCCACAATCCTGTCACGTCGTTATTAACATCGAGTGCGGCTGCGACGTCGAATTCCCAATAACCCAGCACTCGATAACCCAACGTTCGTGCCTGAACGTGTAGTTCGTTAAGCGTGCTTGCGGATCCGAGTCCGCGGAATATTAATCGAAGCTGTACAGCAAACCGTATCCTCTGGTCTCTCGCAGTGGCGTGGTTTTCGTGGGCCACCGGCGCGGCCGGCATACCACAGGAGGTATCCATATCCGAGGACGCGATGAGCGCGTCCTGCGAGGGCTATGAGCATCGCGTGGTCCTCTCGAGCGTCGGCTTCTCGCGAGGCGTACACTATTGGGAGCTGACCATAGATCGATACCACAGTGACACCGATCCAGCCTTTGGAATCGCCCGAGCCGACGTGTCGCGTGATCAGATGCTGGGTAAGTTCTCCATCTCTACTAGATCTCTCTCCTTCTTGTCCTCTTCTACGGAAAATATCGTGCGGTTTATCTGGTCTCGATGAAATATTCATGCGCCACCCGGTACACCCCGGAGATCCCTGGTTTGTTCGGAAATTCGGAGGCGAGAGACGTATGTACCGTTTTCACCATATTTCTTTCTCCCTCTTTCTCTCTCTCTCTCTCTCTCTCTCTCTCTCTCTTTCTTTCTCTCTTTCTCCCTTTGCCTCTGTCTTTTTATTTCTCTTTTTCTCTGTCTCTTTGCCTTTGTCTCTATACATTGTCTCGGATGAGAGAAAACGACGGTCAAGAGATTCTGAGAGATCGCAAAGTGCGCGACCGTGGTTGTGCAACATACTGGAAGAAGAGGGTATTTTAACCCTTGGACACGTGGAAACCGGGTCAATGCTCTTAGAACTGATGAAATTCGGAAATCGATTGCGTGCTGCCTAGCAAATAGAATGGAAATTTATGGATAGGGTCTGCAGTCGTGTCATGTGTCATCTTTTTCTTCTTGCAATTGTTTTGGAATATTCTCCACGACGTGTTCAATAATAACTATTTGTTTCACTTGTTTCAATTATTTTAAACAAATAAAGAAATACATTAATACAAATATTTGAAAAATCATTTTTGCTATTATTAGTCCTAATCGGTATCTAGTGAACTCGAATATTTTCTTTAACTATTTTTATGAAAAATTGTTTATAACAAATGTTTTTCACTCTTATATAATTTTAAGTTATATAATCTTATTCCTCAACTTACAAAATGAAACAAAAATCGTTCAATTATATAATAATTTTAAGTAACGTTACAGTAATTTAAAATATACTGAACTCACAAATATTATTATAGTTAAATAATTTTTGAGGAAATTATTATTATTAGAATTAATTAAATTTCAAATATTCTTAACATTACTTTCACTGTTTCTATTTTTAACACATTAATCAATGCTGTCGTTTATGTGGTATGCAATTCAAGATAAAATTCAATTAAACTAGTGGCTACGCTTGTTTTCCTGCTGGATTGCTAGCTGGATTAGAATCTTGCCACCGTATTAGCTACAGTGGTGACAGGGCCAGTATCGCAGACAATACGGTGGGAAGATTCTAATCCAGCTAGCAGTCCAGCAGGAAAATAAGCATCGTGTGTCGCCAGCTTTTAAACTATTCTCTAGAAGGCAACTCACGTATAACTTTGAGAATCATTTTGTACACAGGTAAGGACGATAAAGGCTGGAGCATGTACATAGACCGCCAGCGGTCGTGGTTCATGCACGGCGGTGGTCACGCACAGCGTACGGAGGGTGGCGTTCAGCAAGGCTCGACTGTCGGCGTTCTTCTCGACCTGGATACCACACATACGCTACGTTTTTTCGTCAACGACCAACCGCAGGGCGGCATCGCCTTCCGCGATCTCTACGGCGTCTTTTATCCGGCGATCAGTCTGAATCGCGGCGTAACCGTAACCCTTCATACCGCTCTCGATGTTCCACGTCATCTTCTTGCACTTCACGAGGAGTACATTAGTGATATGGTTCAGAGCTAGGGGTACCTTAACGTCCTCAAAAAAGGTTTACCGCAGGAGATCGGCTCGCCTTTAGGCCCAACGACGTACGTCACAGACAGGTGCAGAGACTTCGAATCGGGTCAGTTGCTGGAGAAGATTATCGAGGAGAGCCCGGTTGACGTTAACTAATCGGTAGATCTTTTAAATATGAATTTAGAGCGTAGTACATTTTCTATGAATCTACTTGGCACAAAGCGTTACGAAATAACGTATATACGAGAAAGCATCTGAAATTGCTCTCGCTCTGAGATATCATAATATTAATGAGGGCGCTTTAGTCCTTTCGCAATTGTACAGCGAAATGAGAGCGGTTTAATCTCCTTAGGGATTCAGGAACGAAATATACGTTTTGCGTATTTTGTCTGAATATATTTTATTTATTTAAAATAATTATAATATTAAATAATTATAATAATTATAATATTTATTTAGAAGTAATATTTAGCGGAGTGTTTTCTAATTTCGCAATCGTGGCACATATTTTGTGTTCTAAATTTAGTATATTATAAATAAGAATGGTTTTTTATTTGTAATTGAAAAATATGTAATCCCTGGGGATGTTAATCCGGGTAAAATTCGCCTCGCGCTATTTGTCTGAATATAAGCGGGCTCCACGAGGAATAACGATTCAACAGGTCCAGAAACTTTGGCGAAAAGGGTGGTTTCCGAGGGTGGCACTAACCGTGGACCCTTTTGGATCCGCCTTGTTTGGGAAACTGAAACTCAGAATTTAAATTTTAGTTGGGAAATCGGAATTTGTACTTTCCTATTTTATCCATATAATAATCGTATTAAGTGAAATCACCAATAATATCAATCGAAGCGCACACGTTTCGAAATAGAGAAATAAGATCACTTGAAAAGTGAAAAGCTATTTCATCTCGAAGAATTAACGAGACTGACATAATTCACGCACACGTCACGCGATCCATAAATAATGTTCTCCCGTTAGGAAGTCAACGAAAGCTAAGATAAAGTTTCCTCCGCTGGAAATTAGTCCAGTTTTCTATTTATATCGCATTCTATATTATATAAGCGGAGAAAAGAAAATATTTTTTCCTACACGCTTCCTCAATTCATTTCTCAAATAATTACCTCGACGAAGACTTTAAAACGCACTTCTGAGGATCGGTACGTTCGGTCTTCGGTCAATTAATTCAAGTTCTCTGTTCACACTATAGTCAATACTGTGATCCAGAAAGAGGCGTGGGAGAAATTATCGGACACTTAACCGAAGGTGGAACGACTGGCCCTCGGAAGCAAGGAGACGTCCATTAGCAAATAGCCAAGTATCGTCGACGACAAACTTTGTCGAAGACCGTGTCCGAGTAGAACGATCAATCGATTGGTTCGAGAGATCGCATTGAGACAGCCGAGGAATAGAGAGGAATCTCTTGCGAAATTCATCGTTCGATAGAGAAAGAGATGTACGACCGAGAAATAGAGTCTCGTCCGATAGCAACCTTTCTCAATATTCTCGACGGGGCATTGGTTCTTGGTAACTTCTTACTCTGGAGAGAGTAGAACCGAAGTGCGCGAAGAAGGACATACAATATCGAGGAGGGCCTCGAGTAGCCTTTCCTGCAGCGTACTCCGGATAGCCAGGAAAGAAAGTCGATGATCAGTCCCATCGGGCGGCATTTGCCGCAGTTTTGTCCATCGTGTAATGTAATTAACTCTTTTAGCACCTGCTGTTATATAGCATGCGTCTACAACGATTTATTAAAGACTGCAGAGTTTCGTTTACTATGAAATTAAGAAGAAAATTTTTCAGAATCTTTATATTTCTACATATATGTAATGATTTAATAATTTTTTATTGCAAAAATAATTTTTGCCACAGAAATTAGAGGAAAATAGTGAAGATATAAATCATTCCGAAAAATACATTTCTTTCACAACAAATACACAAAAAATTTTTATAACTGATGTTAGACGATTTATCTCTCACAATCAGAAAATAATGAGATGCACTTTTTCCAATCGAATGAAATTGATCGAAACAAGATTTAGCAATTGAATTCAGTTCGGTGCTGAAACAGTTAATGACCGCGAGCGTCGAGCTTCAAATCGAACGCTGACGAGGCGCGATCGACGATGAAAAGAGGAATGATCGACCACGGTAAAGGCCGATAATTATTCTACAGGAGAATCGAAACCTCATGTTAGAATACGCTGACATGGACAGATTCTTCATTCTGTTTGAAGCGATCGACAGATCGCTCGATCGTCCACCCATTATCCATATCGACACACACGTATAAGTGTAATCGCGTTGTAGGCGTTAAGCTCCATTAACTCTTCGCGAACCAGGTAGAAAATCAACATGGATCATGTGTGGGGTATCTCATACCCCATGCTATACTTCATTATAAATATACTAATCTAGTAGTATGGTAATGACGCATTCTTCAGCTGTACGAAATGGCAATTTGCACTTTTAGAAGAAGTTACAGAAGTTCATCTTGCTGGGGTATGTCACACCCCACCTAATTCGCGGAGGGTTAAAGCGTATAGATAGATAAGATATAAAACAATGCTGCCACGGCTTTAGTGTACAATAATGAGTATACGTTTTCTAGTCTTCTAGAGACTCAATCGACACATCTCCTTTCATCCAATCTCACTCCGTCATTTCTTCCTTTCCTATCCCCACTAATTCTTTTTTACAACTTTGTATCTCTCGACTGTCAGGAATCACAGGACGTTTGGTCCTCGCACTCGATCTCGCCGTTATATTCCGATGTAACGATAATTCGGAAGCATTATTCTACGCCGGATATCGTTTCTGCGAGCGCGCACGCCTTTTGGCGCTATGTACATAAGTGTATATATAACATATAATTATATCAATTGTACCGCCGATGAATTTGCCGATTGTATCATTTACGACTGTATCGGATCAATAAAACACAACGAAAACGTCCATACGACGTGCCATACTTGTGTATGACTCCTCGATTCTCCCCTTCGATTCGCTTTTCCCTCTTCCAGCGGTGGATTGAAGTACTTAGAGATTCTCTGCAGTCTACAAAGTACCAGATCGAAAATAAAAGATCTTGTGAAAAATGTTGAACATCATTCTTTAAATGTTACATATCAATATTTTTGACGTTACAACACCTATATTTGATTATCCAATTTTCATGAAATAGAAATTCGTATTTCAAGACTTGAAATTTCAAGAGGAAGACTTGCGAATTGATACCTTTGTGCGATAATCCACCACTATTCTCCAGGCGTTTTCTCCCTTCTTCTCCACCGTTTTTCATTCATTTGATCCGAAACTTTCGCAACACCTCTTCAGGAAGTTCTCTCGCCGTTGCGCTGGCTCCCGCAAATTGCGACGAGTGGCTGAACGGAGGAGGAAAAGACCGGCGGAGAGCACAGTACGTAGTCTAGAGATGGAAGAAAAAAAGAAGCAAAAGGCGTCGAGTGGTCCGAGAGAGAGAAAGATAGTACTCTGCTCGGCGAAGAAAGCACTAACGCGGTCTGGGCGGGCCCCTTTAACGAATGCAATTAGCTGTCGCGGCTGTGGCTACGGTGTAGGATCATTTTTCCCCTTCGGGCGTTATTTTATATCGCCTGTACCGTAAGTTCGTTCAAGCATGGCGCATGATTCGATTCGGAGATTGGAGGAAGGACGAAGTCGCGCGACCACGTTTAGGGCTAATCGATTTCCGTCTTTTTGCCCCGGTCGTCGTTTCTCCGATGCAGGACGTAGCAGTCCTTTTGTCGCCAATAGCGTTTTTCTTTAGATAAAATTGCCGGTGAAAATATTGAAAAATGTTTTGACACTCGTGATTAAATTTATGGGATTAATAAATGGGAAATCACCATATATTGTACATAGGAAAATTAAAATAAAACATGATTTAGGAAAATTTACGAAAATTTTTAATAAGACTGTATACAAAATATTTAATCCTTCATCTGCATCCATATTTTTACTTCTTTCGTCTGCAATCTGATTTCCAGCCCAAGTTATTTTACTGTTTTAGGCTTTTAAAAAAATGTAGAAAAAGTCCAGATTATTTTTTTCAGAATTTTTATTACATTAACAAAAAACTTTTTTAATTAAAAATGTTTATTCAATAAAAATTGAAATTTGAGCAAAGTGAAATTTTGCTTGTAAAAAGACTCAAAAAAGATTCAAATTCTATTAAATATATTTTAAAAAAGGGAAAAAAAATTTTGACCTTTATGTTTTATTTTCCTTGTTTAAATTAAAAATTTAATAAATAAGTTTTATAAAGTATCTTTAGTTGTTTAGAGTAACATGTAACAAATGACACAAATAGCAAAATCATCTCAAAAAGAATAATTTCTGTTTATCTTTTTGCGTACTCATATTATAATCTTCAGAAAAACAATAATATGAGAAAAAGTTAAGATCACGTCGGTTTATGGCGCGCAAAAAACATTATAAAAGTTGTTCAATGCCTCTCTGGGAAGTTCTTGTTCTCCACAAATTACAGCCGGCAATGCTGTTGGGAAGAAAGATGGTCATGGATGTAAGTTGGGGTTAAAGTAGAAAGAAAAAGGAAAGTCGAATCGAATGTCGCGCGAAAAAGACCGGAATATTATTATTATTAAAATCGTTTGTTCTTATAAGACAGTATAAGAAAAAAAGACGAGGCCAATAAACTGTCTTTTACAATTAGCAGCAAATAATTCACTGTTATTCAACTATAGAATATTTGGTGAAGAACAAAGTTTCAAAAGATAATTTCTTGACAAAGTTGGAGCGCTTCTTCGCAGAAATTTAGGCCGAGGTATATACTATATTACGAAGTTTTACAACTTTGAGAATTAAATAATATTTAATGAATTAAGCTTTAAAGATGATAATGACTAACGGAACGTTCTTCTGAATAATTTTAAAAGCGTTTTATTTTCAAAGAAATTTATTTTTAGTTTTATCATTAAGTTTTACAAGCTACCAAGATATTTAATAATAAAAATTTGTATAAATTGCGCAACGCGCGAATTGTATTCGATCGCATAATTTATACTGAAAGAAATTTCTTTTTCAAATTAAGAAATACATTCTTAAAGATGAAATTTTGATGAAATCTTAAGTAATTTTCCAGGAAGATATTTGACGCAAGTCACGCCTACAGAAGGATATCGAGTTTTGGATTAGGAAATAATAGGTAAGTCCATGTATTCTACTCACTCGTTGACAATAACGCAACAAGGATTTCGAAAGTATAGAAGTTCTGCTTTTTTACGATTCTCTTTTGAGGAAAGTATATACTGCAG